ACCATTTTCGGCTGTGCTGGATGGGCTGCCTGGCTGCTAATCACCAATACGGTAAGACGAATTCGCATACTAAAGTTATGGTAATTATTACTGAAATGAAATTGAGGTTTTTTGATGTAAAACCAATTTTCATGAGGTAATACTTACCATAACTTTATGGAGTCCCATCCTGTCCTTCCTTCTTCCTATCTGCCTGGCTGCCCCTCTGCGGTGCCCCTTAAAGGCTAGAGGAAGGGAGATCACTTTATGTTCCTGCCGTGAAGGCTCATGGATCGTAGTGAGGGTGGGATTTTTTAATCTTTTGTTTTTGGGATATAAAGATGGGTGTAGGTACCATATTTGCAAACTAAATTTACGGTAAGTATCACATCATGAAAATTGGTTTTACATTTAAAAACCTCACGTTTCTTATACAGTAGTTCTTGTATTTATTGTCTACGTGTCATGCCTTAAGAATGTTAACGCCGTCTCGATGATTTTATTTGCTTTCGTAAATATTTCTTTAAGAAACCAGTAACATAGTAAAGTTCCCATAGGTATGTTATGGTGATGTTGTTAATATCCCAAAGGTATGTTATGGAGACGTGACACTGTAGTAATATTGTAAATATCCAATAGACATGTCAGTGTGATGTTGTAAATATCCAATAGACATGTCAGAATGATGTTGTAAATATCCAATAGACATGTCAGGGTGATGTTGTAAATATCCAATAGACATGTCAGGGTGATGTTGTAAATATCCCATAGACATGTCAGGGTGCAGTGATATTTTAAATATCCTAAAGACATTTCAGGGTGATGTTGTAAATATCCCATAGACATGTCAGTGTAATGTTGTAAATATCCCATAGACATGTCAGTGTGATGTTGTAAATATCCAATAGACATGTCAGTGTGATGTTGTAAATATCCCATAGACATGTCAGTGTGATGTTGTAAATATCCAATAGACATGTCAGTGTGATGTTGTAAATATCCCATAGACATGTCAGCGTGATGTTGTAAATATCCCATAGACATTTCAGTGTGTTGTTGTAAATATCCCATAGACACGTCAGGCTTACTGTTTTAATTAATTAAAAAACGCAGATTCCATGCGTTGTATACGGTATGCATCAATATATAAATACGTGACGTGATGCTGCAGTGATATTGTAAATATCCCATAGATATGTCACAGTGACGTGATGCTGCAGTGATATTTTAAATATCCCATAGACATGTCAGGGTGACGTGATGCTGCAGTGATATTGTAAATATCCCTGCAGTGATATTGTAAATATCCCATAGACATGTCAGGCTTACTGTTTTAATTAATTAAAAAACGCAGATTCCATGCGTTGTATACGGTATGCATCAATATATAAATACGTGACGTGATGCTGCAGTGATATTGTAAATATCCCATAGACATGTCAGCGTGATGTTGTAAATATCCCATAGACATTTCAGTGTGTTGTTGTAAATATCCCATAGACACGTCAGGCTTACTGTTACGTGCTGCAGTGATATTCCCATAGAAAATGTTGTATATCCCATAGACATGTCAGTGTGTGTTGTATATCTGCAGTGATATTGTAAATATCAATATATAAATACGTGACGTAGATATGTCAGGGTACGTGACATGTCAGTGTAATGTTGTAAATATCCCATAGACATGTCAGTGTGATGTTGTAAATATCCCATAGACATGTCAGGCTTACTGTTTTAATTAATTAAAAAACGCAGATTCCATGCGTTGTATACGGTATGCATCAATATATAAATACGTGACGTGATGCTGCAGTGATATTGTAAATATCCCATAGACATGTCAGGGTGACGTGATGCTGCAGTGATATTGAAAATATCCCATAGACATGTCAATATATAAATACGTGACGTGATGCTGCAGTGATATTGTAAATATCCCATAGACATGTCAGGCTTACTGTTTTAATTAATTAAAAAACGCAGATTCCATGCGTTGTATACGGTATGCATCAATATATAAATACGTGACGTGATGCTGCAGTGATATTGTAAATATCCCATAGACATGTCAGGCTTACTGTTTTAATTAATTAAAAAACGCAGATTCCATGCGTTGTATACGGTATGCAGCAATATATAAATACAGTTAGCTTGTAATTATTTATTAATTCATATAACAATACTATATTTTATGTTAAAAGGATAGTCCGCCCAATCTGAAAAAAGGGACAGAACTCATTCTAATGACCATTTAAAATATTGTTAGCATCAAAGTATCTCTCCTGTGGTCATTGGCGGGAATACTCCTAACCAAACCGTCTAAATATAGCGAAGCTGGAAATCCGGAACCGAAAGGTCACTGTATCATAGATTTTTGTAGAGTATTGGGTAAATACACAAGTGTGTATGCTATTCGCTAAAATTTCTGCTGGGGTTACAATTTTATTAATTCATCAGGCTTATTTTCTAATTTCGAATTTCTACTTCCGCAAATTAAATATCACATGTCATGTTTGTTTAAATGGTTACTAACTGATGTGCACGATTTCCATAAAAACATAAGGAGACAGTTTCCTTCAAAAGCACCCCATGAAATCCTAACTTGTTTGAAATATCCCTTGAAAGGCAACAACAAAGGATCCAAGTAGATCATGGTTAAACTAGATGGTCCGACCACATTGGGACAATGCACAAGATTTTCTTGCCGAAGTACATGCTTTTTAATTCCAATTCAGGACTCCCGTCAATCCTTTCAATGTTTTCCTCTTTACATTGTTGGTTAGGATCGCACGTGCGCTTGAAAGAATCAGTAATGCAAAGCATCTCAACAACCATGTTCTAAACATGAACTCTCTAAGCATAAATTTTATTTCGATTGTTTATTATAATTTTTTTCATCTCTATCACTTTAATAAAATCATTAGATTAAACCGGTTTTTTTCTTCTTTTCAACACGTTTTGGGAAAAACTGTCTAGTTGGAATTTATGTCAAAACGTCGTCTGCTTCCTGGCTAACGGCCAACGCCATACATACATAAGATGGCGGCTTCCATGTGCAATAGTCAATCAACAGCAAATGTTTGTTAATCAGAGGTATTCTTAGTTCGTAGAACTTCAACATGTTTTAAGTAATCCTTATGAATGATATTCATGCGATGTTCATCAATGACAAGACTAGGTAATCGCCAGATGCAGGCATAAATCAGGTAGAAATGACAAACTGTGATGGGTTTGATGGTACTGCAGGGTTCGTAGCTCAACCGGGATATTTTTTTCTCCTCTTATATGTTTTCAATTGAAACAGGTGAATACACAAATAATGTACCAAAAATCTTTTCCTTGCACACAGGTTTCTCTCCCTTCCCCCCCCCCCCCTCTCATTTTTTTTTGTAAAAAACTCTTGTGTCACAGAACCACACTATTGGGACTTCTAAAGAAAATAATATGCATTTCTTAGACACAGTGATATGCAGTAATATAAAAAAACCTTTTTTGATTAACTTGAAATAATATTAATGATAATATTTTTGTTTGTTTGCAATGAGATTAATTTAGTCGACCCAATTTCCTACGTCGGGCGGGTTTACGCCAAGCCACGGACTTTCTGTGTCAGTGGTCGAACCAAATGCGTATACATATAACGCACTGTCCTTGGTCGTACTTTCGCCATAATTTGTTTTCCTCGGAATTTCTCTTATACGGATACATATACTACAGCTTGTTATGTCATTATGTAAGGTGTAGGTCAAGTTATGACGTGGTTGTGGTAAACTTTTTTATTTCATTTTATTTCATTTCAGTAATGTCATTTAAGACTTTCGTAGAAAAATAATGTATGGCCAAAAGTAGAGAACCTTGATGAACTACTCTGTAAGTTTTGTTCAAGTCCAAAGTACGCGCGAAATCTGAGTTTTGTTCAAGTCCTAAGATCAGTTTTGTACGCGCGATATAGAAGTTTTGTTCAAGTCCTTAGAACAGTTTTGTACGCGCGAAATCTGAGTTTTGTTCAAGTTCTAAGATCAGTTTTGTACGCGCGATATAGAAGTTTTGTTCAAGTCCAAAGTACGCGCGAAATCTGAGTTTTGTTCAAGTTCTAAGATCAGTTTTGTACGCGCGATATAGAAATTTTGTTCAAGTCCTTAGAACAGTTTTGTACGCGCAAAACAGAAGTTTTGTTCAAGTCCTAAGAACAGTTTTGTACGCGCGAAATAGAAGTTTTGTTCAAGTCCTTAGAACAGTTTTGTACGCGCGAAATCTGAGTTTTGTTCAAGTTCTAAGATCAGTTTTGTACGCGCGATATAGAAATTTTGTTCAAGTCCTTAGAACAGTTTTGTACGCGCAAAACAGAAGTTTTGTTCAAGTCCTAAGAACAGTTTTGTACGCGCGAAATAGAAGTTTTGTTCAAGTCCTTAGAACAGTTTTGTACGCGCGAAATAGAAGTTTTGTTCAAGTCCTAAGAACAGTTTTGTACGCGCGATATAGAAGTTTTGTTCAAGTCCTTAGAACAGTTTTGTACGCGCGAAATAGAAGTTTTGTTCAAGTCCTAAGAACAGTTTTGTACGCGCGAAATAGAAGTTTTGTTCAAGTCCTTAGAACAGTTTTGTACGCGCGAAATAGAAGTTTTGTTCAAGTCCTAAGAACAGTTTTGTACGCGCGAAATAGAAGTTTTGTTCAAGTCCTAAGAACAGTTTTGTACGCGCGAAATAGAAGTTTTGTTCAAGTCCTTAGAACAGTTTTGTACGCGCGAAATAGAAGTTTTGTTCAAGTCCTAAGAACAGTTTTGTACGCGCGAAATCTATTACATGTAAGTTAAATATCAGTGTAAATATCTGTTAATGCATTAAGATTTTGTGTCAAATTTCAAAATTAAAATTCATATCACAATTTTTGAGTTACAATTGTTCCGTTTGAATCTGAAATTTGTTATTAGCTATACTCGTTTACCTCCGTGAAAGACCAAAGCATTAAATACAGAAGACTTCAGAATAACATGCAGCACTTTAATGAGTAAACTGGTTAGAGTATAGCATAAAAATATATATAATCAACAGATAAAAAGTTATTGCATCACAAAACGAAGATATTAATACACAAGGACAGAAACATACTAGAAATCAAAACAAATGGAGATATAATTAAGATCGAGATCGTTGGATAAAACAGAGGAAGATCATGAAGGACTCGTCAGTAATCAATACTGACTGATAAGGATGACGTCATAAGGTAGCAGGAAACACTTCATTTGCCATTTTTATCTGAAATTATTGGTCATGTTTGAGATATATAGGCATAGCAGTTTGGTTATGAAAAATACATCCCTACTTGTATGTATATTCATAAACTACACAACAATTACATTAATAGTAGAGAGATAAAAATTACGTAAATAAAAAAATTCCTCTGATTTCTGACATGTGATTGCCATGGTTACCAACTCAAAAAATACTTAAAATGCAAAAATACTGCTAACTTATTCCAACGTAAACACTACAAATTTATAGAAGAAATTTATTTCTGAACTCCTGTTTTGAAATCAAAATCACTGTCATGGTAACAAACTACTTACATTTCAGCAAAGTTTCAACCCGGAAAGCCTTCACGACATGACCACGTGTAAACACTATGGAAATTTCACTGCCTGTAAAGCTAGTTTTTGGTGTGTAGACACAGATCCAAGACTGCCAAAATAATAATCTCTAACACAAATTTAAAATATTCTTATGAAAAAATGAAACCCCACATTGTCCACTTCAGGATGACAAGACCAATTTTTAGCAAGGATTCATTTTCTAAATTTTAATTAAAACCTTTATAAGGGGGTAATCTAATGAACAAAAATATCACCCATGGTTACACCGAGAAACTGTGTACTGCTACCTGATGCCTTACAAGATGAAACAAACTGTGTATATTTGTTAATAAATGTCAGGGCTATTTAAAGGAATAGATATTTAATCGAAAACTGATAATATATGGGTAAATCTGTGCACACCTCTGGTCAGATGTTCATAACCAATGCTTCAAATCAATGTCGTCGAGTTCAGAACATTTTGTTCGCTCACTGAAAAATGGAAAAAAAAAAGAATCTAAGATAATTTGAGATCACATGTTTCACGCCGGTAAAGGGATAACACAAATTAAGTGATATTCAGACCAAATGTTTTACGCCGGTAAAGGAATAACACAAGTTAAGTGATATTCAGACCGAATGTTTCACGCCGGTAAGGGGATAACACAAGTTAAGTGATATTCAGACCAAATGTTTCACGCCGGTAAGGGGATAACACAAGTTAAGTGATATTCAGACCAAATGTTTCACGCCGGTAAAGGGATAACACAAGTTAAGTGATATTCAGACCGAATGTTTCACGCCGGTAAAGGGATAACAGAAATTAAGTGATATTCAGACCAAATGTTTCACGCCGGTAAAGGGATAACACAAATTAAGTGATATTCAGACCAAATGTTTCACGCCGGTAAGGGGGTAACACAAATTAAGTGATATTCAGACCAAATGTTTCACGCCGGTAAAGGGATACCACAAATTAAGTGATATTCAGACCAAATGTTTTACGCCGGTAAAGGGATAACACAAATTAAGTGATATTCAGACCGAATGTTTCACGCCGGTAAAGGGATAACACAAGTTAAGTGATATTCAGACCGAATGTTTCACGCCGGTAAAGGGATAACACAAATTAAGTGATATTCAGACCAAACGTTTCACGCTGTTAATTGTTTTCAACAATAAAGGAATATTTGCGACTCAGAGTATCACATCGGTGAAGGACTGTTTGAAACATTGCGTGTCATACTGTTAGATACATGATGTAATTGCAACTTAAAAATGTATTTACTCTGAGAGAAGGAAGGGGTCTTCTGGAACCTCGTCCAACTTGAAGGTCTCGCATAGAATCTTTGATAAAGATACCTTGTCCACATTCCGTTTTTGACCTGGAAATACAAATTAGTAAAATACGTATAAAACGTTTGATTACTGCTTTGAATTGGTACATGATATTTCCGGTATAAGTTACTGTTTATTATTTGATTACTGCATTGAATTGGTACATACTGTTTCCGGTATAAGTTATAGTCTATTGTTTGATTACTGCTTTGAATTGGTACATACTGTTTCCGGTAGAAGTTATAGTCTATTGTTTGATTACTGCTTTGAATTGGTACATAATGTTTCCGGTATAAGTTATTGTTTATTATTTGATTACTGCTTTGAATTGGAACATACTGTTTCCGGTATAAGTTATTGTCTATTATTTGATTACTGCTTTGAATTGGAACATACTGTTTCTGGTATAAGTTATTGTCTATTATTTGATTACTGCTTTGAATTAGAACATACTGTTTCCGGTATAAGTTATAGTCTATTGTTTGATTACTGCTTTGAATTGGTACATGATATTTCCGGTTTAAGTTATTGTCTATTGTTTGATTACTGCTTTGAATTGGTACATGATATTTCCGGTTTAAGTTATTGTCTATTGTTTGATTACTGCTTTGAATTGGTACATACTGTTTCCGGTTTAAGTTATTGTCTATTGTTTGATTACTGCTTTGAATTGGAACATACTGTTTCCGGTATAAGTTATTGTCTATTATTTGATTACTGCTTTGAATTAGAACATACTGTTTCCGGTATAAGTTATAGTCTATTGTTTGATTACTGCTTTGAATTGGTACATGATATTTCCGGTTTAAGTTATTGTCTATTGTTTGATTACTGCTTTGAATTGGTACATGATATTTCCGGTTTAAGTTATTGTCTATTGTTTGATTACTGCTTTGAATTGGTACATACTGTTTCCGGTTTAAGTTATTGTCTGTTTTATCGTTATTTTATAGTTAAAATCTGCGTCTTGATTTCTCTAAAGATAGTTTATTTTCCGTTTTAATTCGTTTTCAGGAGATTTTGTGACAGCAACTTCTGGTAAATTATTCCGTATCAATATTGTTGGAAAGTACTGAAATGGTTTTTTTTTAAAAATATATTTTTGTATGCCTTGTTGTGTCGCTTAGTGCCATATTCTAACAGTTATACACAACCGATTGTTTTAGTTTACATGGTTCTATCATACCTAATTTTCTTGACACCATTTGATAAAAGTTTGGTTATCTAGTAACTATCGAAAACAAAAATGTTGCCATTTTCTAAGCAAAATTGACTCTCAAAAAATCAGTTGGAACTGAAACAAAGCTATAGTCGTTGAATAATGAAGAATGTTACCAATTTTGTTTAATTCATATTTGAGATTTTTTTCACTAACCTAAACTAAGCTTTGAGCAGCTGGGGTCTGAAAGCTAGTTATGACAGCTCGAGTGCCATCCTTTATATATATATATTCGTCATTGGTTAATGGTTTGAAGAAAGTCAATGGTTGGCGGTCTAAATATAGTCATAGGTTGATGGTCTAAAGGTAATCAATGGTTTCATTGTCTAAATTTAGTCAATGGTTGATTGTCTAAATTTAGTCAATGGTTGATTGTCTAAATATAGTCAAAGGTTGGTGGTCTAAAGATAGTCAATGGTTGATTGTCTAAATATAGTTAATGGTTGGCGGTCTTAAGGTAGTCTATGGGTGATTGTCTAAATATAGTCGATGGTTGATGGTCTAAAGATAGTCAATGGTTGATGGTCTAAAGATAGTCAATGATTGATGGTCTAAATATAGTCAATGATTGATGGTCTTAAGGTAGTCTATGGGTGATTGTCTAAATATAGTCGATGGTTGATGGTCTAAAGATAGTCAATGATTGATGGTCTAAAGGTAGTCTATGGGTGATTGTCTAAATATAGTCAAAGGTTGGTGGTCTAAAGATAGTCAATGGTTGATGGTCTAAAGATAGTCAATGATTGATGGTCTAAAGGTAGTCTATGGGTGATTGTCTAAATATAGTCAAAGGTTGGTGGTCTAAATATAGTCAATGATTGATGGTCTTAAGGTAGTCTATGGGTGATTGTCTAAATATAGTCGATGGTTGATGGTCTAAAGATAGTCAATGGTTGATGGTCTAAAGGTAGTCTATGGGTGATTGTCTAAATATAGTCAAAGGTTGATGGTCTAAATGTGGTCAATGGTTGGTGGTCTAAAGATAGTCAATGGTTGGCGGTCTAAACTAGTCGTTGATGAGTTTTAGAACGTTTGGATATCGCGGCCAAGTTATAAATGCAGACTTTAAAGTGTTCAGGTACAGTACCAGATAATAGTTGCATATATCTCATTTATGAACAAATGACAATGGATATGACACCTATTGAACCTATTTGAAGTCAGAGATCGCTCTTGAATGAAATGGATGAGAGAAAATTAACAGTGGTTTAACATTTGATACACCTGCAATGTAGAGTTTAACCATTTTGATAGTGTCAGGTGGTTGCCCTGTCAATGTCTCTAAACAATATCGTGAGATAGACTCAAAATACTACAAACATAAGAAGTCCGGTAATGTACCCCTAGAGGCTAGTGCATGCTCAACACAATAGGTTTTCATGTTATACCTACAGTTATTTATTTTTGACAAATTAAGTAAATCTTACAATTAAGGCAGACAATTACCAAGGTCAACATGATATACTTACATCTCGGTCACTTTGATCTCTGTGATATACTTACATCTCGGTCACTTTGATCTCTGTGATATACTTACATCTCGGTCACTTTGATCTCTGTGATATACTTACATCTCGGTCACTTTGATCTCTGTGATATACTTACATCTCGGTCACTTTGATCTCTGTGATATACTTACATCTCGGTCACTTTGATCTCTGTGATATACTTACATCTCGGTCACTTTGATCTCTGTGATATACTTACATCTCGGTCACAGTGATCCCTGTCATAGCGTATCGAATATTTAAAATTTGTGATAGTTTTACTCTGTCATATAGCTGACTTACGTCTATTTAAAGAGTTCTGGTACCAAAAGCGGTCACCCTCTTTCAATGCTTGGAATTGTTTCCCCAACAAGCATCCGAAAGTTCCTCCCACATGTCCACCTTCGACGTTCTTCTCCGTCATCCCACCAGCAAATAGATCGATGTCCTCTACATCACTATAGTAATCAGTGATTATTTTGTAACACAAAACAGGTCTCTGAGAAAGCTCACAGACAGACATCATTAACGTTTGAATAATAAAAGTTCACTTACAGAAACAATGGACCTAAGATGCCTTTTAAGGAAACAAAAGGTAATCTGACATTTTGTTTTGGAAAACAAGTTTGATATATCATAAATGTTTTCTAAATTTATCTTGTTATCATGCTTGTATAAGGTACGCATATATCTCACTGATACTGAACTCGTCCTATAGGATATATATATTAGATATTGTTCTTGTTTAAAATTATCAATTTTAAATAAATTCTGTTAATTCTAATTTGACTTCTCATAATTACTCAAAATACCTGCCGCAAAAGTGACATAGTTATACCTGTAGACTTTCTTCAAGAGTTCCTGGGCCTCGGCATCGTGATTGTATAATTCGGAGAATTCTCCTGGTTGTGAATCGAAACACAACTTGAGGTAACTTATGTAGCCAGGTAAACCGTGATCACGACCTCGCTGAATGTTCAAAGCACTAAGATCCAGACCGAACGGGCCTTTGTTCTCAAACAGATGATTCTCAATAGCATCGGCAAATGTACTGAAAGTTACGTAAAAACGATGCAGCGGGAAGATTTCATAAAATAAATATATATACTTCTGCCTTACAGATGGAAACCTTTCATAATTATACAAGTAACAATAACACGGAGCCTTGGTACTGGTCTAATAGAATCACAGAACCGTTGTACCGGTTTAACCATAACACAGAACCATTGTACCGGTCTAACCATAACACAGAACCATTGTACCGGTCTAACCATAACACAGAATCATTGTATCGGTCTAACAATAACACTGAACCATGGTACCGGTTTGATAGTAACCCATAGAGAAACACAAAACAGTCGTACATGTGTAGCAGTAAGCCAGAACAATCGTTTATGTCGAACAGCAACACACAACCTCTGTATTGGTTTCAATTTTTATCATAAAAAGATGCATGATACACAATACAGTGTTACAAAATTAAGTATCATTTTAGGTCATACATGATATTCACTGTAATGTAGAATTAATAGCAGGCACATTGCCAAATAGTAACTTACCCATCTGAAGCTCCGCAAGGTTTTTGGTACATTGCAGAAACGAGCCCCTTGGCATCAGAAAACACTGGATTGGTGACGAAAAAATTTTCGCTCAAAGGATTGCTGCCTGTATCTTGGCCATCCTCACTCATATGGGGGATGTCATTCAGAACTAGTGTATGTCCGTATCTCATTGCCCCAGTAGTAAAAGCCAACTGTGCTCCAGGATTCACCGTTTTGTCATAAGGGACGTCCATGCCGAGATCTAGCTTGTAATACGTCATTAATTTGGACCCTAACACGTTTGGTAGCCATTTAGAGTAGGTGATTTGCTGTATGAGAGCACCGATGATCTGTCTAGCCCTTTCATAGATTTCATCGTCATCCAAAGTATTGTTGGCTAAGTTGGACAATCTTTCGGCTAAGATGTTGTGATATACTATTAACACCGTGTGCATGCTGGCCAGCAGGGCGTTCTCGTTCACTCGAATATCTCCTGCAATTTCGTTCAAATCGATATATTTATTTCCTTATCGTAACTAAACAATTATCTGATGTCTATAGCTTATATATCCATAGATAAACCCTTACCGTAACTAAACAATTATCTGATGTCTATAGAAAAAAAGAATAGTGAATACCTGCTCAGTGGTTTAGAATATAAACTGTATTTTGGCGAGGGTGAAGAAAGACACTTTTATGTCCTTGCCCGATCAGAACGAAAAGGTTACCTGATCTCTATAGCTTTAATTTTTGACATACTTATATTGTTGTACACATACTCTTACCTGTCCTGTCTAATTATCTTGTGACATACTTATATTGTTGTACACATTATCTTACCTGTCCTATCTAATTATCTTGTGACATACTTATATTGTTGTACACATTATCTTACCTGTCCTGTCTAATTATCCAGTGCATAATTATATTGTTGTACACATTATCTTACCTGTCCTGTCTAATTATCCTGTGACATACTTATATTGTTGTACACATTATCTTACCTGTCCTGTCTAATTATCTTGTGACATACTTATATTGTTGTACACATTATCTTACCTGTCCTGTCTAATTATCCAGTGCATAATTATATTGTTGTACACATTATCTTACCTGTCCTGTCTAATTATCTTGTGACATACTTGTATTGTTGTACACATTATCTTACCTGTCCTGTCTAATTATCTTGTGACATACTTATATTGTTGTACACATTATCTTACCTGTCCTGTCTAATTATCTTGTGACATACTTATATTGTTGTACACATTATCTTACCTGTCCTGTCTAATTATCTTGTGACATACTTATATTGTTGTACACATAATCTTCCCTGTCCTGTCTAATTATCCTGTGACATACTTATATTGTTGTACACATTATCTTACCTGTCCTGTCTAATTATCCAGTGACATACTTATATTGTTTTACAGATAATTTTACCTGTCCTATCTAATTATCCTGTGACATACTTATATTGTTGTACACATAATCTTACCTGTCCTGTCTAATTATCTTGTGACATACTTATATTGTTGTACACATTATCTTACCTGTCCTGTCTAATTATCCAGTGCATAATTATATTGTTGTACACATTATCTTACCTGTCCTGTCTAATTATCTTGTGACATACTTATATTGTTGTACACATTATCTTACCTGTCCTGTCTAATTATCCAGTGCATAATTATATTGTTTACACATAATTTTACCTGTCCTGTCTAATTATCCTGTGACATACTTATATTGTTTACACATTATCTTACCTGTCCTGTCTAATTATCCTGTGACATACTTATATTGTTGTACACATCATCTTACCTGTCCTGTCTAATTATCCAGTGACATACTTATATTGTTTTACAGATAATTTTACCTGTCCTATCTAATTATCCTGTGACATACTTATATTGTTGTACACATTATCTTACCTGTCCTGTCTAATTATCTTGTGACATACTTATATTGTTGTACACATTATCTTACCTGTCCTGTCTAATTATCCAGTGACATACTTATATTGTTTTACAGATAATTTTACCTGTCCTGTCTAATTATCCAGTGACATACTTATATTGGTGTACACATTATCTTACCTGTCCTGTCTAATTATCTTGTGACATACTTATATTGGTGTATCATGATCTTACCTGCTAGGAAACAGTGAGTGCCAGGTTGATTTAGAACACAAGCGCTGTCGTCGTTTTTAGGTAGAAGATTCGATGGATCAACTTTCATCTTTCCTGAATAAAATTGAATGCTAAACAGCTTGAGACGTGGTTGTTTTCTCTTTGTTGTTATATCAGTGTAAAGAATTTTATCAAAATATTAGTACGTTATCAAATGAATATTTTTACATCTCCATTAAACACGCCTTGTCGACAAGTTCTATAGATTTCTGTTAAATGGATTCTATCATGTTGATGAGAATTAAACTGTATCTGTTATTTCATAGAAAATTTGGAGATCGATGTAATATGACGTTATAAATTACTAACCACCATGGAAAGTTCGTAGTGAGTGAGCTACATGGTCTTCCGATCCATAAACCATTGAACCGTCAATGAACGATGTGATGACATTTAGTTGGTCACGTTCACCTAAATCAAATCAAAACATTTAGTTGATCACTTACGCCTAAATCAAAACATTTAGTTGATCACTTACGCCTAAATCAAAACATTTAGTTGATCACGTACGCCTAAATCAAAACATTTAGTTGATCACGTACGCCTAAATCAAAACATTTAGTTGATCACGTACGCCTAAATCAAAACATTTAGTTGATCACGTACGCCTAAATCAAAACATTTAGTTGATCACGAACGCCTAAATCAAAACATTTAGTTGATCACTTACGCCTAAATCGAAACATTTAGTTGATCATGTACGCCTAAATCGAAACATTTAGTTGATCATGTACGCCTAAATCAAAACATTTAGTTGACCACGTACGCCTAAATCGAAACATTTAGTTGATCATGTACGCCTAAATCAAAACATTTAGTTGATCATGTACGCCTAAATCAAAACATTTAGTTGATCACGTACGCCTAAATCAAAACATTTAGTTGATCACTTACGCCTAAATCAAAACATTTAGTTGATCACGTACGCCTAAATCGAAACATTTAGTTGATCATGTACGCCTAAATCAAAACATTTAGTTGATCACGTACGCCTAAATCAAAACATTTAGTTGATCACGTACGCCTAAATCGAAACATTTAGTTGATAGCGTACGCCTAAATCGAAACATTTAGTTGATCATGTACGCCTAAATCGAAACATTTAGTTGATCACGTACGCCTAAATCAAATCAAAACATTTAGTTGATCACGTTCGCCTAAATCAAAACATTTAGTTGATCACGTTCGCCTAAATCAAAACATTTAGTTGATCACGTACGCCTAAATCAAAACATTTAGTTGATCACGTACGCCTAAATCAAATCAAAACATTTAGTTGATCACGTACGCCTAAATCAAAACATTTAGTTGATCACGTACACCTAAATCAAAACATTTAGTTGATCATGTACGCCTAAATCAAAACATTTAGTTGATCACTTACGCCTAAATCAAAACATTTAGTTGATCACGTACGCCTAAATCAAAACATTTAGTTGATCACGTACGCCTAAATCGAAACATTTAGTTGATCATGTACGCCTAAATCGAAACATTTAGTTGATCACGTACGCCTAAATCGAAACATTTAGTTGATCACTTACGCCTAAATCAAAACATTTAGTTGATCACGTACGCCTAAATCGAAACATTTAGTTGATCACTTACGCCTAAATCAAAACATTTAGTTGATCACGTACGCCTAAATCAAAACATTTAGTTGATCACGTACGCCTAAATCAAAACATTTAGTTGATCACGTACGCCTAAATCAAAACATTTAGTTGATCACGTACACCTAAATCAAAACATTTAGTTGATCATGTACGCCTAAATCGAAACATTTAGTTGATCATGTACGCCTAAATCAAAACATTTAGTTGACCACGTACGCCTAAATCGAAACATTTAGTTGATCATGTACGCCTAAATCGAAACATTTAGTTGATCATGTACGCCTAAATCGAAACATTTAGTTGATCACTTACGCCTAAATCAAAACATTTAGTTGATCACTTACGCCTAAATCAAAACATTTAGTTGATCATGTACGCCTAAATCGAAACATTTAGTTGATCATGTACGCCTAAATCAAAACATTTAGTTGATCACGTACGCCTAAATCAAAACATTTAGTTGATCACGTACGCCTAAATCGAAACATTTAGTTGATCACGTACGCCTAAATCGAAACATTTAGTTGATCACGTACGCCTAAATCGAAACATTTAGTTGATCACGTACACCTAAATCAAAACATTTAGTTGATCATGTACGCCTAAATCAAAACATTTAGTTGATCACGTACGCCTAAATCAAAACATTTAGTTGATCACGTACGCCTAAATCAAAACATTTAGTTGATCACGTACGCCTAAATCGAAACATTTAGTTGATCACGTACGCCTAAATCAAATCAAAACATTTAGTTGATCACGTACGCCTCAATCAAATCAAAACATTTAGTTGATCACGTACGCCTAAATCAAAACATTTAGTTGATCACGTACGCCTAAATCAAATCAAAACATTTAGTTGATCACGTTCGCCTAAATCAAAACATTTAGTTGATCACGTTCGCCTAAATCAAAACATTTAGTTGATCACGTACGCCTAAATCAAAACATTTAGTTGATCACGTACGCCTAAATCAAAACATTTAGTTGATCACGAACGCCTAAATCAAAACATTTAGTTGATCACTTACGCCTAAATCAAAACATTTAGTTGATCACTTACGCCTAAATCAAAACATTTAGTTGATCACGTACGCCTAAATCGAAACATTTAGTTGATCACGTACGCCTAAATCAAATCAAAACATTTAGTTGATCACGTACGCCTAAATCAAAACATTTAGTTGATCACGTACGCCTAAATCAAAACATTTAGTTGATCACGTACGCCTAAATCAAAACATTTAGTTGATCACGTACGCCTAAATCAAAACATTTAGTTGATCACGTACGCCTAAATCGAAACATTTAGTTGATCATGTACGCCTAAATCGAAACATTTAGTTGATCATGTACGCCTAAATCGAAACATTTAGTTGATCATGTACGCCTAAATCGAAACATTTAGTTGATCGCGTACGCCTAAATCAAAACATTTAGTTGATCACGTACGCCTAAATCAAAACATTTAGTTGATCACGTACGCCTAAATCAAAACATTTAGTTGATCACGTACACCTAAATCAAAACATTTAGTTGATCACGTACGCCTAAATCAAATCAAAACATTTAGTTGATCGCGTACGCCTAAATCGAAACATTTAGTTGATCACGTACGCCTAAATCGAAACATTTAGTTGATCACGTACGCCTAAATCGAAACATTTAGTTGATCATGTACGCTAAATCAAACATTTAGTTGATCGCGTACGCCTAAATCAAAACATTTAGTTGATCACTTACGCCTAAATCAAAACATTTAGTTGATCGCGTACGCCTAAATCAAAACATTTAGTTGATCGCGTACGCCTAAATCAAAACATTTAGTTGATCACGTACGCCTAAATCAAAACATTTAGTTGATCACGTACGCCTAAATCAAAACATTTAGTTGATCACGTACGCCTAAATCAAAACATTTAGTTGATCACGTACGCCTAAATCAAAACATTTAGTTGATCACGTACGCCTAAATCAAAACATTTAGTTGATCACGTACGCCTAAATTAAATCAAAACATTTAGTTGATCTGAATGAATGAATTCCTTCTGTTGTTTATATTCAACCTAAATCGGAAATAAAAACATTTACTTTTTATTAGTGTTGACAGAAACGTCTGTAAAACAATTCAAATAATTGATTGTTTGATCATTACCTGGTTCGCAGTGATGAGCAGTGGCGGCAGACGACCTGATGAAGTTCATGCACTTGCGAGTAAAGATTGGGTCCTGCGGATCGATTGGGATAGGAAAGCACTGTTCCCTGATGTTGATTAAAGCGATTATCATTTTCAGTGAAAACAGCGATAATTTGGTTAACAAAAGCTGCGAAGGACTTCATGAAATATCTTTTACACAAGTTCTTTCTTTTTTTCGAAAGTAATCAGGTGTAATCTTTGACAATTGACCGTGATAAAATCTATCATCTAACAATTAAAAAAACTTTATTTTCATATATCAGCCTTGCTATTTTCCTTTTTGGGGTTTAAACATATATTATTTTTACAATAAATTCTATCGAGAAAATGCAGACCCATGCTTTCAAACCACAGTGCGGTCAAAAATATCTAATATATTACAACACTGACAATGGTACTCACCTTTCCTTCCTGACGAACACGTCTATTATACTGCAACACTGGATTGTAACACCATTGAAACCTGCACGTATGACAGAAAATCAGGTCAGCGTTGTGTTTATAGTTTCATTTAGATACGTTGAATTACAGACTTAACTATGGCTGGGTTAGATCCATCATTTACTCGTTAACACGTAATATACCAAACATAAAACATCTGAAAAAGAAATGAAAGCGCTCATGTGTTACATCGTGTGTTGTGCAGTGGTTTAATTTTTTTCTATATCTACTGGGCACGGATAATTCACCACATTTTCAATATATATATATATGTGTGTGTGTGTGTGTGTGTGTGTGTGTGTGTGTGTGTGTGTGTGTGTGTGTGTGTGTGTGTACAATTTAATGGAATATTTCTGTGTAATGAAACATGAACATATTCAGGATTAATTTGTTAGGCGAAAAATATATATATATAAAACCTTTGAGTGGAATGGAAGTCTAGTGTTTGTGGACAATAACATTTGCATTATAGGATTAATGTGTCTCCCCGTCTAGATATTAACATTTCTTTGAAATGGTTTGATTTATCCAAGTACCCTCCTTGGTTTCATAATTTAGACTCTTGGCATCACTTCCGAATCCTACAAGGACGAAACGTTTGGCTCTATCCTATTCAGTTGGTATAGAAAGGTCTCGTGTTTATCTTGGTACAAATCTTAGAAATTCGTCCGCTGAAAGGCGGAAATAGCGCCTATGAGCCGTAAGGCTCCTGGCTAATAAAGAATCTGAATAAAGAGTCTGGGTGTAAAACCTGTTAAATAAATAATAAATGAATAAATACCTTTAGAGATAGGTGTTTCACCGATGTCGTGATCCAAGATTTGGCCCCAAACCATCATCATTAGACTCCTTAAGGGGTCAGTCGGTGCTTCACTGACACCATCCGGTTTCTTGAACACCGTTCGCGATACGGTTCTTGCACTTGGCAGGTCGGAACCGCTTACAGACGTCTTCCGTGGGCTACTAAATTCTAAAATTGTGGTCAATTGTTTTATTTAGATTGTCTAGTTGATTTAAACTCCCGTAAAAAACATCCTGTTATCATTAAAACAGTTTTGGTTGTAGTAACCTTATCTCTTTTATTTATTTGACTTCGCGAGGGATGTATCAAAGCAGAATGAAATGCATCGATATATTTGTACACTGAAACATTAGGGATGGTATTTGACGTTTGGGATTGAATTTGAGAATGACTGGAGAGAACTAAACAGGATGATTATATAGGAGAATTACAGGTGAGGATTACTGGAGAGAACTACACGGGATGATTATATAGGAGAATTACAGGTGAGGATTACTGGAGAGAACTACACAGGATGATTATATAGGAGAATTACAGGTGAGGATTACTGGAGAGAACTACACGGGATGATTATATAGGAGAATTACAGGTGAGGATTACTGGAGAGAAATACACGGGATGATTATATAGGAGAATTACAGGTGAGGATTACTGGAGAGAACTAAACAAGATGATTATATAGGAGAATTACAGGTGAGGATTACTGGAGAGAAATACACAGGATGATTATATAGGAGAATAACAGGTGAGGATTACTGGAGAGAACTACACGGGATGATTATATAGGAGAATTACAGGTGAGGATTACTGGAGAGAACTACACGGGATGATTATATAGGAGAATTACAGGTGAGGATTACTGGAGAGAACTACACGGGATGATTATATAGGAGAATTACAGGTGAGGATTACTGGAGAGAACTATATACAGGATGATTATATAGGAGAATTACAGGTGAGGATTACTAAACAGAGAGATATAGGAGAATACAGGTGAGGATGATTATATATAGGAGAATTACAGGTGAGGATTACTGGAGAGAACTACACAGGATGATTATATAGGAGAATTACAGGTGAGGATTACTGGAGAGAACTAAACAGGATGATTATATAGGAGAATAACAGGTGAGGATTACTGGAGAGAACTACACAGGATGATTATATAGGAGAATGATTATATAGAGAACTACACAGGATGATTATATAGGAGAATTACAGGTGAGGATTACTGGAGAGAACTACACAGGATGATTATATAGGAGAATTACAGGTGAGAGAGAACTACACAGGATGATTATATAGGAGAATTACAGGTGAGGATTACTGGAGAGAACTAGGATTACTGGAGAGAACTACAGGATGATTATATAGGAGAATTACAGGTGAGGATTACTGGAGAGAACTACACAGGATGATTATATAGGAGAATTACAGGTGAGGATTACTGGAGAGAACTACACAGGATGATTATATAGGAGAATTACAGGTGAGGATTACTGGAGAGAACTAAACAGGATGATTATATAGGAGAATTACAGATGAGGATTACTGGAGAGAACTACACGGGATGATTATATAGGAGATTATATAGGAGAATATACAGGTGAGGATTACTGGAGAGAACTAAACAGGATGATTATATAGGAGAATTACAGGTGAGGATTACTGGAGAGAACTACACGGGATGATTATATAGGAGAATTACAGGTGAGGATTACTGGAGAGAACTAAACAGGATGATTATATAGGAGAATTACAGGTGAGGATTACTGGAGAGAACTACACGGGATGATTATATGGGAGAATTACAGGTGAGGATTACTGGAGAGAACTAAACAGGATGATTATATAGGAGAATTACAGGTGAGGATTACTGGAGAGAACTACACGGGATGATTATATAGGAGAATTACAGGTGAGGATTACTGGAGAGAACTAAACAGGATGATTATATAGGAGAATTACAGGTGAGGATTACTGGAGAGAACTAAACAGGATGATTATATAGGAGAATAACAGGTGAGGATTACTGGAGAGAACTAAACAGGATGATTATATAGGAGAATTACAGGTGAGGATTACTGGAGAGAACTAAACAGGATGATTATATAGGAGAATAACAGGTGAGGATTACTGGAGAGAACTACACAGGATGATTATATAGGAGAATAACAGGTGAGGATTACTGGAGAGAACTAAACAGGATGATTATATAGGAGAATTACAGGTGAGGATTACTGGAGAGAACTACACAGGATGATTATATAGGAGAATTACTGGAGAGAACTACACAGGATGATTATATAGGAGAATTACAGGTGAGGATTACTGGAGAGAACTACACAGGATGATTATATAGAGAATTACAGGTGAGGATTACTGAGAGAACTACACAGGATGATTATATAGATTATATAGGAGGAGAGAACTAACAGGATGATTATATAGGAGAATACAGGTGAGAGGAGAGAACTACACAGGATGATTATATAGGAGAATTACAGGTGAGGATTACTGGAGAGAACTACACAGGATGATTATATAGGAGAATAACAGGTGAGGATTACTGGAGAGAACTAAACAAGATGATTATATAGGAGAATTACAGGTGAGGATTACTGGAGAGAAATACACAGGATGATTATATAGGAGAATTACAGGTGAGGATTACTGGAGAGAACTAAACAGGATGATTATATAGGAGAATTACAGGTGAGGATTACTGGAGAGAACTAAACAGGATAATTATATAGGAGAATTACAGGTGAGGATTACTGGAGAGAACTACACAGGATGATTATATAGGAGAATTACAGGTGAGGATTACTGGAGAGAACTACACGGGATGATTATATAGGAGAATTACAGGTGAGGATTACTGGAGAGAACTAAACAGGATGATTATATAGGAGAATAACAGGTGAGGATTACTGGAGAGAACTAAACAGGATGATTATATAGGAGAATTACAGGTGAGGATTACTGGAGAGAACTACACGGGATGATTATATGGGAGAATTACAGGTGAGGATTACTGGAGAGAACTATTATATAGGAGAATTACACTGGAGAGAACTAGGATGATTATATAGGAGAATTACAGGTGATTACAGGTGATTATATAGGATTACTGGAGAGAACTACACAGGATGATTATATAGGAGAATTACAGGTGAGGATTACTGGAGAGAACTACACAGGATGATTATATAGGAGAATTACAGGTGAGGATTACTGGAGAGAACTAATATAGGACAGGATGATTATATAGGAGAATTACAGGTGAGGATTACTGGAGAGAACTACACAGGATGATTATATAGGAGAATTACAGGTGAGGATTACTGGAGAGAACTACACTGGATGATTATATAGGAGAATTACAGGTGAGGATTACTGGAGAGAGAACTACACAGGATGATTATATAGGAGAATTACAGGTGAGGATTACTGGAGAGAACTACACAGGATGATTATATAGGAGAATTACAGGTGAGGATTACTGGAGAGAACTAAACAGGATGATTATATAGGAGAATTACAGGTGAGGATTACTGGAGAGAACTAACACAGGTGAGGATTACTGGAGAGAACTAAACAGGATGATTATATAGGAGGATTACAGGTGAGGATTACTGGAGAGAAATACACGGGATGATTATATAGGAGAATTACAGGTGAGGATTACTGGAGAGAAATACACAGGATGATTATATAGGAGAATTACAGGTGAGGATTACTGGAGAGAACTACACGGGATGATTATATAGGAGAATTACAGGTGAGGATTACTGGAGAGAACTAAACAGGATGATTATATAGGAGAATTACAGGTGAGGATTACTGGAGAGAACTACACACAGGTGGATGATTATATAGGATATATAGAGAATTACAGGTGAGGATTACTGGAGAGAACTAAACAGGATGATTATATAGGAGAATTACAGGTGAGGATTACTGGAGAGAACTAAACAGGATGATTATATAGGAGAATTACAGGTGAGGATTACTGGAGAGAACTACACGGGATGATTATATAGGAGAATTACAGGTGAGGATTACTGGAGAGAACTACACGGGATGATTATATAGGAGAATTACAGGTGAGGATTACTGGAGAGAACTAAACAGGATGATTATATAGGAGAATTACAGGTGAGGATTACTGGAGAGAAATACACGGGATGATTATATAGGAGAATTACAGGTGAGGATTACTGGAGAGAACTACACGGGATGATTATATAGGAGAATTACAGGTGAGGATTACTGGAGAGAACTAAACAGGATGATTATATAGGAGAATTACAGGTGAGGATTACTGGAGAGAACTACACGGGATGATTATATAGGAGAATTACAGGTGAGGATTACTGGAGAGAACTACACAGGATGATTATATAGGAGGATTACAGGTGAGGATTACTGGAGAGAACTACACGGGATGATTATATAGGAGAATTACAGGTGAGGATTACTGGAGAGAACTACACGGGATGATTATATAGGAGAATTACAGGTGAGGATTACTGGAGAGAAATACACGGGATGATTATATAGGAGAATTACAGGTGAGGATTACTGGAGAGAACTAAACAGGATGATTATATAGGAGAATTACAGGTGAGGATTACTGGAGAGAACTAAACAGGATGATTATATAGGAGAATTACAGGTGAGGATTACTGGAGAGAACTAAACAGGATCTTGAACATTGAGTATACTTCCGTTTCCCATTTGCATAATCAGCGCGTATATCGAAGTTCCATTTGATTTCAACTGATCATTTACCTAATGTAATATTAAGTTTTCCCATGATTTTGCTACATGTCGATATTTTTATTTATCTTATTCTGCATCTCATTTAAGTCTATAAGCATCAATCTATATACTTACTATTATCATATGCTGACAGTACAAGTCGTACTTGTACAGTATTTATAGCGCCCCAACGAGGATTATCCAGGTTGTTGCATTCGCCGGTGATGGTTCTGTACGGGTTGTTCGAGGAACAAGACGTCGAGGCTCCTTCATCACAATGGTTATTAAAGAACGTTTTCCAAAGTTCGAGTGCTATTTTGTTAGCTTTCAGCTCCTGCAGGTCTTTAAATACCCCTCTTTAATGAGAAAATATCGAGATATTGGTATCAAATGTAGCCACGTTTCGTCGAAGGCCAAGAATTAGAGAAAATGTTTTAAATTTTGAACCAAAATTGGCATTTTTTTCACTACTAGTGATTATAACAATCATAAATTTGTTAAGCTGTTTTAGTAACAGTGACCTTGATCTTTGACCTATCACTCACAATACCATAAAGCGCCCACTGCTCTCTATTTTAAGGAAAATGAATGTTTTTAAATGAGCATATTCTGTTTGCTGTGGGCTGTTACTGCCGCCATTTTGGCTTCGTTAGCGAGGCCTTAGTGCTGTCATAACATTGATGTTTGTGAAGCCTGCCAATCCAAAATTTGACTGAGTGAATTCGATGGATTGTTCAAAGCTTGACCCCTGCGTTAAATATTCTTGTAACGAGGTACGAAATGAATTGAATGGCGTTATTTTAATCAAACTGCATCCCAGTCTTTTCAAGGAGTTATGGAACATTGAATAGTGGGTAGACGGAAGGGAAGAGGATAAACGGGACAATAACATCGTACACCACACTTAAGCTACGCGGGGAATATTGAGATGATCGAGGGAAAAGAAAAGAAAAAATCAAACATTTGCTTGAAATATGTCACTGTGACCTCATTCCATTAACGTGTCGAGGGAAAGGTTGATAATCACCAGTAATTTACCTGTCTGGAAAGTGAGAGTATGACGTCATCTGATGTATCTGTCTAGGTGAAGTTTGATGGTCAAAAATGATTTACCTGCCTGAAAGATGTTAGAGTGACGTCCTCTGATTTACCTGTCGAGTAGAAGTTTGATTGTCACCTGTAAATTACCTGTCTGGAAAACGTGAGTATGACGTCATCTGATTTACCTGTCGAGAAGAAGTTTGGTGGCTGCAAGTGACATCACAGCTGCATGTTCTTCCTTTTCGATTTCTGTTTTATCTGTATCCACATTATTTAGGCCTGCCAATGCTTCAGGGGAAGAGTCTCCGGGAGGGGCGTCCAGACCTAACATTGACATGGCCTGGTTCATTATTTGGAAACACAATTTAAGCAGGCACAGAGTAAACTGATGCCAGAAAAATGTGAATGAGGGATTTGTTGTAGATAATTCTGAGAAATGAAAACTTCCTAAGCACTCAGAAATTTATTTTAGATCATGGAGCTTTCTAGAACGCCCTTTTTTGCTTAAGTTATGAAGCAACAAATCATTTATGGCGAGAAAACCAAGCCAAATTATCATTCATTTCTGTCTTTTCGCAGAATCCTTTTTTTATTTAAATTTTTAATTTTCATTTGTTGTTGTTTTGTTTATCTTCCTTCTTTTTTGTATTTTTTTTTTGTTTGTTTTGTTTTTGTTTTTTGTTTTTTTTGGATTTGTTTGAGCGAAGCAAATATGAACATCTTGTGCCGAAAATAAATAACTGGTGATAATAGCTCTATATACATATAAGTGTCTGAAAAAACGAATCAACGAAAATTTTTCTTCTCTGAAAAAGAAATAATAAACAACGGTCATCTTGATACATACCCGTTTCAAATGTTTTGGAAATTCGCCAGGATCCACTTGCGTAACGTTTTGTCGAAAATCCTATAAAGTTGATTGGTATCTCAGGGCCGCCGTAGGTGTACGTCATGAGTTTTGTCCATCCTTTGGTCGTTTGTCTGAACACTTGTATGTTTCGGTCAGCCCAGCTTATGAAGAACGTCGTATACTTGTCGCAGTCCACTACATCGGCAAGGTCTATGAAAGCTTGGTCAGTATCATTTATGCGGATGGCCGACCTCGTGTTAAGGTCCGTGCCAATTACAATTTCAACATCTTCATAACCCTGGTCATATGCTTTGGAAAGTCCAATATATGCGTCATTGCATGTCTTGACTTCGAACACTACATAGGGTCTCTGTACTAATGGGAAGCCGTGGTCCTGTAGCAGCGTGTAGTTATAAACGTTAAACTGTTTGTGAGTGTCGATAATTGCATCATCACCTGAAAACGTCAAAAAAATGGCACTCAGATGAAACGTGAAGGACACGTAATATTAGACAGATGTACTTAGCATATGATATAATTCCATGTTTACAAATATCAAATGTATACAAACTTCATTGTCTGAAGTTATGTTGATGTAGATATATATTCTGTAGTGATGTAGATTTGTTATCTATGATAATGTAGATATATATACTGTAGTGATGTAGATTTGTTATCTGTGGTGATGTAGATATATATTCTGTAGTGATGTAGATATATATTCTGTAGTGATGTAGATTTGTTATCTATGATAATGTAGATATATATTCTGTAGTGATGTAGATTTGTTATCTAATGTAGATATATATTCTGTAGTGATGTATCTTACCTTGCTTGGGAGTTCTGAAGTATCCAGACGTCCAGTTTGCAGTTGTAAGACCAACGAATTTAACATCTTTTACTGGTATGTTTGGGTCGTACCAAGACATAAATTCATTCCAGCCAGACTGACCAGTCAATTTAAACACTTGTATGTGTCCACTTGCCCAGCCCACCATGAAGGTTATGTACTTATCGCAGTCGAGAACATCATCTGTCTTCACCTCAACTAAATTGTTTCCCTGCTTTTCAGTGCGGATTGCTGATTGTGTGTTGCTCCAGCCTCCTATAACGATCTCGTACAAGTCACCTTTAGGATCTTCATCTACTTTTAGACCAACATGAACATCGCTACAGGCTCTAGCATCGAAGATGACAGATTTAGCTTCCGCTGCACATCCTGGGGAGCTCAACAGTGTGTATCTGTAGTCATTGCCGGCTGATTGTTGAATAGTTTCAAAAGCATCAAGGTTTCCTCCTAAAATGATAATATTGGTATGTTACCTGTTGTCAAGATCTAATTGATCAGGTTTGTACACCGTCAATGTTACCACGCTTTTATTTAACTGACAACACACCTGTTATATCATAAAACAACACACCTGTTACATCATAGACAACACACCTGTTATATCATTAAAAACAACATACTTGTTAAATTATAAAACAACATACCTGCTCATCATAAAACAACACATCTGTTACATCATAGACAACACACCTGTTACATCATAGGCAGCACACCTGTTACATCATAGGCAACACATATGTTACAACATAGACAGCACATTTGTTACATCATAGAAAACACACCTGTTACATCATAGACAACACACCTGTTACATCATAGGCAACACACCTGTTACATCATAGGCAACACATCTGTTAAATCATAGACAACACAACTGTTACATCATAGGCAATACACATGTTACAACATAGACAGCACATTTGTTACATCATAGAAAACACACCTGTTACATCATAGACAACACACCTGTTACATCGTAGGCAACACACCTGTTACATCATAGGCAACACATCTGTTAAATCATAGACAACACAACTGTTACATCATAGGCAATACACATGTTACACCATAAAACAACATACCTGTTATATCATAGACAACACACCTGTTACATCATAGACAGCACACCAGTTACATCAAAGACAACACATATGTTACAACATAGACAGCACATTTGTTACATCATAGAAAACACACCTGTTACATCATAGACAACACACCTGTTACATCATAGGCAACACACCTGTTACATCATAGGCAACATACCTGTTACATCATAGACAACACATCTGTTAAATCATAGACAACACACCAGTTACATCAAAGACAACACATATGTTACAACATAGACAGCACATTTGTTACATCATAGAAAACACACCTGTTACAACATAGACAACACACCTGTTACATAATAAAACAACACACCTGATACATCATAGACAACACATCTGTTACATCATAGACAACACATCTGTTACATAATAAAACAACACACCTGTTACATCATAGACAACACACCTGTTACATCATAGACAACACACCTGTTACATCATAGACAACTCAACTGTTACATCATGAACAGCACACCTGTTACAACATAGACATCACACATGTTACATCACCAAACAACATACCTGTTACATCATCGACAACACAACTGTAACATCATAAAACAACACACCTGTTACATCATCGACAGCACAACTGTAACATCATAAAACAACACACCTGTTACATCATAAAACAACATAACTGTTACATCATAGACAACACACCTTTTACATCATGAACAGCACACCTGTTACATCATAGCCAACACACCTGCTACATCATAAACAACACACCTGTATCATCATAGACAACACACATGTTACATCATAAAACAACACACCTGTTACATCATAGACAACACACCTGTTACATCATCAAACAACATACCTGTTACATCATAGCCAACACACCTGTTACATCATAGAAAGCACACCTGTTATATTATACATAACTCACCTGTTATATCATAGACAACACACCTGTTACATCATAGATAACACAGCTGTTATATCATACATTACTCATCTGTTACATCATAGACAACACACCTGTTACATCATAGACAACACACCTGTTATATCTTAAACCAACATAACTGTTACATCATAGACAACACACGTTACATCATAGAAAACACACCTGTTACATCATAGACAACACACATGTTACATCATAGACAACACAACTGTTACATCATAAAACAACACACCTGTTAAATCATTAAGCAATATACCTGTAACATTATTAAACAACAAATCTGTTACATCATAGACAACACAACTGTTACATCATAGACAACACACCTGTTACATCAGAACACAACATAACCGCTACATCGTAGACAACATACCTGTTACATCATAGACAACACATCTGTTACATCATAGACAACACACCTGTTACATCATAGCCAACACACGTGTTATATCATACGTTACTCACCTGTTACATCATAGATAACACACCTGTTACAACATAGACAACACTCCTGTTACATCATAACACAACATAACCGTTACATCGTAGACAACATACCTGTTACATCATAGACAACACATCTGTTACATCATAGACAACACACCTGTTACATCATAGCCAACACACGTGTTATATCATACGTTACTCACCTGTTACATCATAGACAACACACCTGTTACATCATAAAACAACATAACTGTTACATCATAGACAACACACCTGTTACATCCAAGCCAACACACCTGTTACATCACAGCCAACACAACTGTTACATCATAGACAACACACCTACTACATCAAAGCCAACACACCTGTTATATCATAGACAACACACCTATTACATCATAAAACAACACACCAGTTATATCATAAAACAACATGACTGTTACATCATAGACAACACACCTGTTACATCATAAAACAACATACCTGTTACATCATAGCCAACATACCTGTTACATCATAGCCAACACACCTGTTACATCATAGAAAGCACACCTGTTATATTATACATAACTCACCTGTTATATCATAGACAACACACCTGTTATATCATAGATAACACAGCTGTTATATCATACATTACTCATCTGTTACATCATAGACAACACACCTGTTACATCATAGACAACACACCTGTTATATCTTAAACCAACATAACTGTTACATCATAGACAACACACGTTACGTATGTCATAGACAACACATCTGTTACATCATAGACAACACACCTGTAACATCATAGGCAACATACCTGTTATATCATAGACAACACATCTGTTACATCATAGACAACACAACTGTTACATCATAGGCAACATACCTGTTATATCATAGACAACACAACTGTTATATCATAGGCAACACACCTGTTACATCATAGGCAAAAGACCTGTTACATCATAGGCAACATACCTGTTACATCATAGACAACACACCTGTTACATCATAGACAACACACCTGTTACATCATTAAACAACATACCTGTTATATCATAGCCAACACAACTGTTATATCATAAAACAACACACCTGTTAAATCATCAAGAAATATACCTGTAACATCATTAAACAACACATCTGTTACATCATAGACAACACACCTGTTACAAAAAAACCAACATACCTGTTACATCATAGAAAGCACACCTGTTATTTTATACATAACTCACCTGTTATATCATAGACAATACACCTGTTACAACATAGACAACACATATGTTACATCATCAAACATTATACCTGTTACATCTTAAAACAACAAACCTGTTACATCATCGACAACACACCTGTATCATCATAGACAACACACATGTTACATCATCAAACAACATAACTGTTCCATCATAGACAACACACCTGTTACATCATAGGCAACATACCTGTTATATCATAGACAACACATCTGTTATATCTTAAACCAACATAACTGTTACATCATAGACAACACACGTTACATCATAGAAAACACACCAGTTACATCATAGACAACACACCTGTTACATCATTAAACAACATACCTGTTATATCATAGCCAACACAACTGTAACATCATTAAACAACACATCTGTTACATCATAGACAACACACCTGTTACAAAAAACCAACATACCTGTTACATCATAAAACAACACACCTGTTACATCATAGAAAGCACACCTGTTATATTATACATAACTCACCTGTTATATCATAGACAACACACCTGTTACAACATAGACAACACATATGTTACATCATCAAACATTATACCTGTTACATCTAAAAACAACAAACCTGTTACATCATCGACAACACACCTGTTACATCATAGACAAAAACATCTGTAACATCATAGACAACACACCTGTTACATCATCAAAACAAAAAACCTGTTACATCATAAAACAACATACCTGTTAACATCATAGACAACACACCTGTTGCATCATAGACAACACACCTGTTATATCATAAAACAACATACCTGTAACATCATAGATAACACACCTGTTATATCATAAATCAACATATCTGTTACATTATAAAACAACAAACCTGTTATATCATAGACAACACACCTGTTATATCATAGACAACACACCTGTTATATCATGGGCAACACACCTGTTACATCATAGCCAACACACCTGCTATATCATTAAACAATACACATGTTATATCATATAACAACACACCTGTTACATAATAAACAACACACCAGTTACATCAGAAACAACACATATGTTGCATATAAGACAACACACCTGTTACATTATATACAACATGTATGTTACATTATAAAAAAAATAACTGTTACATCATAGACAACACACCTGTTACAACATAGACAACACACCTGTTACATCATCAAAACAAAAAACCTGTTACATCATAAAACAACATACCTGTTACATCATAGACAACACACCTATTACATCATAGACAACACACCTGTTACATCATAAAACAACATGTATGTTACATTATAAAAAAACAAACCTGTTATATCACAGACAACACACCTGTTATATCATAGACAACACACCTGTTATATCATGGGCAACACACCTGTTACATCATAGCCAACACACCTGCTATATCATTAAACAATACACATGTTATATCATATAACAACACACCTGTTACATAATAAACAACACACCAGTTACATCAGAAACAACACATATGTTGCATATAAGACAACACACCTGTTACATTATATACAACAGATCTGCTACATTTTAGACAACACGTCTGTTACATTTGAGACAACACGTCTGTTACATTTTAGACAACACATCTATTACAGTTTAGACAACACGTCTGTTACATTTTAGACAACACATCTATTACATTTTAGACAACACGTCTGTTACATTTTAGACAACCGACTATTGCAGTGTAGACAACACGTCTGTAACATTTTCAACAACACATCTGTTACATTTTAGACAACACATCTATTACATTTTCGACAACACATCTGTAAAGTAACCGATCTTATATCTCTGTAAAGTAACCGACCTTATATCTCTGTAAAGTAAACTATATAAGATCTCTGTAAAGTAACCGACCTTATATCTCTGTAAAGTAACCGATCTTATATCTCTGTAAAGTAACCGACCTTATATCTCTGTAAAGTAACCGACCTTATATCTCTGTAAAGTAACCGATCTTATATCTCTGTAAAATAACCGACCTTATATCTCTGTAAAGTAACCGATCTTATATCTCTGTAAAATAACCGACCTTATATCTCTGTAAAGTAACCGATCTTATATCTCTGTAAAATAACCGACCTTATATCTCTGTAAAGTAACCGACCTTATATCTCTGTAAAAAACTATATAAGATCTCTGTAAAATAACCGGCCTTATATCTCTGTAAAGTAATCGATCTTATATCTCAGTAAAGTAATCGATCTTATATCTCTGTAAAGTAACCGACCTTATATCTCTGTAAAGTAACCGACCTTATATCTCTGTAAAGTAAACTATATAAGATCTCTGTAAAATAACCGACCTTATATCTCTGTAAAGTAACCGACCTTATATCTCTGTAAAGTAACCGACCTTATATCTCTGTAAAGTAACCGATATGAAATCTCTGTAAAGTAACCGACCTTATATCTCTGTAAAGTAAACTATATAAGATCTCTGTAAAATAACCGACCTTATATCTCCGTAAAGTAACCGATCTTATATCTCTGTAAAATAACCGATCTTATATCTCTGTAAAGTAACCGACCTTATATCTCTGTAAAGTAACCGACCTTATATCTCTGTAAAGTAAACTATATAAGATCTCTGTAAAATAACCGACCTTATATCTCCGTAAAGTAACCGATCTTATATCTCTGTAAAGTAACCGACCTTATATCTCTGTAAAGTAACCGACCTTATATCTCTGTAAAGTAAACGACCTTATATCTCTGTAAAGTAAACTATATAAGATCTCTGTAAAATAACCGACCTTATATCTCTGTAATGTAACCGACCTGATATCTCTGTAAAGTAACCGACCTTATATCTCTGTAAAGTAAACGACCTTATATCTCTGTAAAGTAACCGACCTTATATCTCTGTAAAGTAATCGATATAAGATATCTGTAAAGTAACCGACCTTATATCTCTGTAAAGTAACCTATACAAGATCTCTGTAAAGTAACCGACCTTATATCTCTGTAAAGTAACCGATCTTATATCTCTTTAAAATAACCGACCTTATATCTCTGTAAAGTAACCGACCTTATATCTCTGTAAAGTAACCTATACAAGATCTCTGTAAAGTTACCGATCTTACATCTCTGTAAAGTAATCGATATAAGATCTCTGTAAAGTAACCGACCTTATATCTCTGTTAATTAACGGACCTTATATCTCTGTAAAGTAATCGATACAAGATCTCTGTAAAGTTACCGATCTTATATCTCTGTAAAGTAACCGATCTTATATCTCTGTAAAGTAACCTATATAAGATCTCTGTAAAGTAACCGACCTTATATCTCTGTAAAGTAACCGACCTTATATCTCCGTAAAGTAAACTATACAAGATCTCTGTAAAGTAACCGACCTGATATCTCTGTAAAGTAACCGACCTTATATCTCTGCAAAGTAAACGATCTTATATCTCTGTAAAGTAACCGACCTTATATCTCTGTAAAGTAACCGATAAGAAATCTCTGTAAAGTAACCGATAAGAAATCTCTGTAAAGTAAACTATATAGGATCTCTGTAAAGTAACCGACCTTATACCTCTGTAAAGTAACAGACCTTATACCTCTGTAAAGTAACCAATATAAGATCTCTGTAAAGTAACCGACCTTATATATCTGTAAAGTAACCGACCTTATATTTCTGTAGAGTAACCTATACAAGATCTCTGTAAAGTAACCGACCTTATATCTCTGTAAAGTAACCGACCTTATATCTCTGTAAAGTAACCAACCTTATATAACCGTAACCGCTCTCAAACCATTGTCAGGTATTTGTACAGTTCTATTATGTGCAACCCTTGAAAATGTGATTCGTTATGCACAATAGCAGTAATATAAAGACTTACCTCTGTTGTAGTAGAATATCTTTCTGTCGTTAAATTTATCGATGGCTATTTTTGCATCAGTAAGTGCTCTGTCGACTTCACTCTTAATTTGGCTGTCATCTCGAGTGGTGAGAGTTTCCCTCTTTCCACCGTCCGTTTCGCTGTCTTTTTCTAGTTCCTCTAGCAACTCAAGTAGCTCATCGTAAACTTTCTCGTTGTTCGCAAAAACAGCATTCATCAACAACAAAGCGTACAGTGACGTCAGCAACTTATTAAAGATCATCGTGTTTGCTGAAACATAGAATCATATAAACACATGTAAATATGAGAAAAAACAACTTTATCTAAACCACTGAACGTAAATGTCGTCAATACAGCTTAAATTGACTTGTCTGCTATATCTTGCTATAAGATAGGTACATCTGATAAACTGAACGTACCTTCTTTACCCGATTAGAGAGTAGAAAATACCTGTAAAATTGACTTACCTTATGTACCTCGTTAGAGAGTAGAAAATACCTGTAAATTGACTTACCTTATGTACCTCGTTATAGAGTAGAAATTACCTGTAAAATTGACTTACCTTATGTACCTCGTTAGAGAGTAGAAAATACCTGTAAAATTGACTTACCTTATGTACCTCGTTAGAGAGTAGAAATTACCTGTAAAATTGACTTACCTTATGTACCTCGTTAGAGAGTAGAAAATACCTGTAAATTGACTTACCTTATGTACTTTGTTATAGAGTAGAAATTACCTGTAAAATTGACTTACCTTATGTATCTCGTTAGAGAGTAGAAAATACCTGTAAAATTGACTTACCTTATGTACCTCATTAGAGAGTAGAAAATACCTGTAAAATTGACTTACCTTATGTACCTCGTTAGAGAGTAGAAAATACCTGTAAAATTGACTTACCTTATGTACCTCGTTAGAGAGTAGAAAATACCTGTAAAATTGACTTACCTTATGTACCTCGTTAGAGAGTAGAAAATACCTGTAAAATTGACTTACCTTATGTACCTCGTTAGAGAGTAGAAAATACCTGTAAAATTGACTTACCATATGTACCTCGTTATAGAGTAGAAATTACCTGTAAAATTAACTACCTTGTTTATTTTCTTTATGTCTACTCTGAGCTGGGTTGCTTTTTTTCGTGTTAGTCGTAAGATTCTTGTTATAAAATATTGACTGAAGTTGTTTAATACGGATGACTGCCTTTAAAATCATGTTATATTGAACTTATGAAAGGGAGTGTAAATAAACCTTGTTGTAAGATGAATTTCATGTGTCATGGAAAATAGGAGCTAAGTAGTTAAGAATTTTATGATGCGTGGTTGTCTAAGTGTATCCCTTATGAAAAATATTTTTGTCTTTATATACTCAACCGGCACATGGTGTTTATATCCAAGAGATAAACAGTTTTGAAAAGTGTATTTAATACAAAGATATTTTCGATAGATTTGATCTGCAGTTTTATCTTAATAAGTCTTTGACTACTAAATTTAAGAATGTTCTCACTAAGTTTAGGACACAAGCACAGATCTTCAGTGTTGAAATTGGTAGATACCAAGGCATACCTAGACACTTCAGGTTGTTATGTAATAGAGCAGACGTTGAAGAAAAAAATCACTTTATATAGTCACGTTCCGCTTACTCAGGAAATAAGAATATATCAAGCCATATTTTAACCATCCTCAATACTACAGGGCTTATGATCGCTTTCGCTCTCTGCACCCATGGAACATGTCATGGCAAATTTGAAGGCGCAAGCTAAGTTAATTGATTCCAGGAGAAAAAACATTGTCCAATCACAGACTGATATAATTCTTTTTTAAGATTACAAAGGAGCGACACCCAACTTCAAAGCCATTGCAACATACCATTATGCGACCTCTAGAATCGTTTGATGTACAACAAAGGATTAAACTTGTCTTTTTGCCTTGTTCACAAAGTGTCGCACACCGGAACCTTCAATTTTGCAACGGCATATTGCAGGGATGCAGAGAGTAAAAGTGATCAGAACACATGGAGTATCGAGGATGAAAGTTAACTGAAGCATTTGAAAGTAAAAATTTAAAACATTAGCGCTTCGTCGAACAGCAATTCACCACTAAATGTTTGAACTTATGTATTTTTAAGTATATTGTTACTGTACCTGTGTCAACAATTAGGTTTATCAGTGTCTTGTTTATAATTTATGTATGAGTATGCATCTGAATTGCTGCGACTGTGTTCTCCGCCATCTTGTAAACACAAATGCTATGATATATCTATCTTGTATATCCTATATGCCATACTGAATTTGGAAAGGAATTGAATTCAATTGAAAAACTGAATCGGATACACCAGGAAAAAATTCCTTTCCTGGTAGGACTCTTTAGAAGTTTGATAGTGCATGCAAATTTGTTCACCTGATATACCTTAGCATCTAGGTGCTCCAGGCTTCAGTTACTTTATTAAGTTTCACTAGGGACGTGTAATACGTCCCTGGGTTTCACAACTTATTACTAGACATAACAAACACTAACACACATACAACTTTACATACTGCACACACAAACCGCATTGATATTTAGCATTGCATACAATGTCACATTCACAACTTATCACTAGACATAACAAACACTAACACACATACAACTTTACATACTGCACACACAAACCGCGTTTATATTTAGCATTGCATACAATGTCACGTTCACAATTTATCACTAGACATAACAAACACTAACACACATACAACTTTACATACTGCACACACAAACCGCGTTTATATTTAGCATTGCATACAATGTCACGTTCACAACTTATCACTAGACATAACAAACACTAACACACATACAACTTTACATACTGCACACACAAACCGCGTTTATATTTAGCATTGCATACAATGTCACGTTCACAATTTATTACTAGACATAACAAACACTAACACATATACAACTTTACATACTGCACACACAAACCGCGTTTATATTTAGCATTGCATACAATGTCACGTTCACAATTTATCACTAGACATAACAAACACTAACACATATACAACTTTACATACTGCACACACAAACCGCGTTTATATTTAGCATTGCATACAATGTCACGTTCACAATTTATCACTAGACATAACAAACACTAACACATATACAACTTTACATATTGCACACACAAACCGCGTTTATAATCAACATTATATACATGGTCATATTCATTTCAATATTCGTTTTACTTCAGATACACAAATAACATATACTAGAGAATATCATATCAGTTAAATCTACACACAAACCGCGTTCTATATCCTCTGTATCTATGTCTATCCTCTTATCTAGACATATCAAACACTCACACATACAACTTTACATACTGCACACACAAACCGCGCTTATATTTAGCATTGCATACAATGTCACGTTCACAACTTATCACTAGACATAACAAACACTAACACATATACAACTTTACATACTGCACACACAAACCGCGTTTATATTTAGCATTGCATACTCCCTATATCTATACAACTTTACTATCCACACACAAACCGCGTTTATATTTAGCATTGCATACAATCCTCTGTATCTATTCATATCAACTTTACATATCACACACAAACCGCGTTTATATTTAGCATTGCATACTCCGTTCTTTATCTAGACATAACAAACACTAACACACATACAACTTTACATACTGCACACACAAACCGCGTATCATACATTCTATCATCAAACACTACACATACTATTACTACACACAAACCGCTGTATAATCTTATATATTCTATCTATTCAGATACACAAATAACTATACTAGCTATATCTCCCTATTATTCTATCCTCTGTATCTATTCTATCTCCCTATATCTATTCTATCCTCTGTATCTATTCTATCTCCCTATATCTATTCTATCCTCTGTATCTATTCTATCCTCTATATCTATTCTATCTATCCTCTGTATCTATTCTATCCTCTGTATCTATTCTATCCTCTGTATCTATTCTATCCTCTGTATCTATTCTATCTCCCTATATCTATTCTATCCTATATCTATTCTATCCTCTGTATCTATTCTATCCTCTGTATCTATTCTATCCTCTGTATCTATTCTATCCTCTGTATCTGTTCTATCCTTATAACATATCCTACCCAATACCATCCTTTCTTCCTTTAGACGCTAACATTATGTATTTCCCAGAATGGCTTAATTCTTTAGTATTTTCTACGTTCTTAAATTGTGTGAATTGAAGCATGCTTGGAAGATTGATGTAACATGGCTTCATAAATTTCGAGTGAATATCTGCATAAAATGGACACTTTATTACAAAATGGTACTCGTCTTCGATATCTCAATTATTACATAATACACATAGTCTGTTATTTCTGTCAATATTTCTGTATCTTCTCCTTTCGATCTCCAAGTCACGTGCCGACATTCTTAGTTTTGCAATTATCTTCAAACATCCAATATTCAAGGAATATTTTTTTCAAATATAAATAGGAGAATGTGTCTACACGGTGTTAAAGTTTTATTTATCAAAGACTGATGGACAAATATAGCATCGAGGATCGAAAGACTTTTACGAAAGAGAGCGCCTGTAATAATGTTATATTCTTCATATATCTCGAAAAACCTTTCATTTGATATAGACGTGTACAACTCTCCTAGAAACTGGATATAAAAAGAGAATCATCAATTTGATGTTCTAAAAATGGGGCAAAGCCACAATTGGCCGGGTTGCGGGATGAGTGCAATGTTATATGGTATTTATAAGACAGTTAAGGGTGTTTCATTTGTTGAGTATGTAGAATATTTGTTATAAGAGTGAATGTTTGGTTGTATTTTATGAATTGGTGCAGAAGAAAGGCATTTGAAGAAAGAAGTTGTAGCCATTTTTTATTCGGAGATGTTCAAAAAATAGACAATGGACATCTAGGGCCTCAAGGTGATTTATATGCGGAAAATTACTAAGTTCCAAAGCTCAGAAAATCCAGAAAAAAAATCCGGAATGAATCCATAATAGGAGGTGCATATTTTCAACATATATATATATACATCATACAAAGTTTCAAGCTTTAACATCAAAAAGTGTCGGAGGAGTCGATTCTACAACACTGGTACCCTTTTTCACCGCCCGCCCGACATTCATCATACCCGGATTTGCAATATGCGCAACCCGGCCAAAATGCCTTTATAATTATCGGTGTTATTTTCATCTCCTTTTTTAGGAACTGGAACAAAATATCCTATATTCCAAGAGATTGAGAAACAGCCAGAATTTATTACTCTATTAAATAACATAGTTAAATTAAAAAAAATCTTTTGTGCCTAGTTAGACGTTAAAATTAACTCACCTGACGGGTGTCCTTAGAAATCAATTGGCTGCTTTCTGTACCTCGTTAGAAGGTACTCCGGGTAAAGCTTCTCCCGATGTGGTCTTCCCGACAATAAAGGCCTTTTATATTGTCAAGCTGGAGAAAAAAACACGATTTTCGCCTACACAGCTCCGTGTGCCGGTTGGCGTTACTTAGTAAAGGGTATCATCAAATATAGCCTCATTTTTCCACATGGCTTCACAGATGTCATCGTCTTACGTATTTGATTTCGATTAACACGAAACATTTGAATGTGTTTGAATGTTTACTGAACAGTTTTAATGTATTCCTACCCATTATGGTATCAACAGTTCTATTTCACATATAAAAACAACATATATGTCATCCGAGAAAATGCTTAACCTCAATCTTCAAACTCATATAACACGGATACACGACTATAACTGCCTGTATTGATGTTTATATGCGAGTATGAATGCAGATAGTGATGTTATAGATGTGAGTATGAATGCAGATAGTGATGTTATAGATGTGAGTATGAATGCAGATAGTGATGTTATAGATGTGAGTATGAATGCAGATAGTGATGTTATAGATGTGGGTATGAATGCAGATAGTGATGTTATAGATGAGGGTATGAATGCAGACAGTGATGTTATAGATGTGGGTATGAATGCAGACAGTGATGTTATAGATGTGGGTATGAACGCAGACAGTGATATTATATGTGAGTATGAATGCAGATAGTGATGTTATAGATGTGAGTATGAATGCAGATAGTGATGTTATAGATGTGAGTATGAATGCAGATAGTGATGTTATAGATGTCAGTATGAATGCAGATAGTGATGTTATAGATGTGGGTATGAATGCAGACAGTGATGTTATAGATGTGAGTATGAATGCAGACAGTGATGTTATAGATGTGGGTATGAATGCAGACAGTGGTGTTATAGATGTGAGTATGAATGCAGATAGTGATGTTATAGATGTGGGTATGAATGCAGACAGTGGTGTTATAGATGTGGGTATGAATGCAGATAGTGATGTTATAGATGTGAGTATGAATGCAGATAGTGATGTTATAGATGTGCGTATGAATGTAGATAGTGATGTTATAGATGTGGGTATGAATGCAGATAGTGATGTTATAGATGTGAGTATGAATGCAGATAGTGATGTTATAGATGTGGGTATGAATGTAGATAGTGATGTTATAGATGTGGGTATGAATGTAGATAGTGATGTTATAGATGTGGGTATGAATGTAGATAGTGATGTTATAGATGTGGGTATGAATGCAGACAGTGATGTTATAGATGTGGGTATGAATGCAGATAGTGATGTTATAGATGTGAGTATGAATGCAGATAGTGATGTTATAGATGTGGGTATGAATGCAGATAGTGATGTTATAGATGTGGGTATGAATGCAGACAGTGATGTTATAGATGTGAGTATGAATGCAGACAGTGATGTTATAGATGTGGGTATGAATGCAGACAGTGGTGTTATAGATGTTGGTATGAATGCAGATAGTGATGTTATAGATGTGAGTATGAATGCAGACAGGATGTTATAGATGTGAGTATGAATGCAGATAGTGATGTTATAGATGTGAGTATGAATGCAGATAGTGATGTTATAGATGTGAGTATGAATGCAGATAGTGATGTTATAGATGTGAGTATGAATGCAGATAGTGATGTTATAGATGTGAGTATGAATGCAGATAGTGATGTTATAGATGTGAGTATGAATGCAGATAGTGATGTTATAGATGTGAGTATGAATGCAGATAGTGATGTTATAGATGTGAGTATGAATGCAGACAGTGATGTTATAGATGTGAGTATGAATGCAGATAGTGATGTTATAGATGTGAGTATGAATGCAGATAGTGATGTTATAGATGTGAGTATGAATGCAGATAGTGATGTTACAGATGTGAGTACGAATGGCTGTGCAGATGTTCATATGTGAGTATAAATGGTTAAAGCCTTGTTATATACAGATGTTGTTAAGTATAAATGTGAGTACGAATGGTTGAAGTTATTTTGTATGAGTGTGGATGGCTGTAGTTACGTGATATATGTCAATATTGACGGTTGTAGAGATGCTACATTTGTATGCGAGTATTAATGGTAGACGTATAATTGAATAATTGAGTACAAATGGCTGAATTGATGTTATATGTGAGTATGGATGCCTGAGGTGATGTTATATGCGAGTATGGATGGCTGTAGTGATGTTATATATGAGTATGTATGGCTGTAGTGATGTTATATGTGAGTATGTATAGCTGCAGTGATGTTATATGTGAGTATGGATGGCTGCAGTGATGTTATATGTGAGTATGGATGGCTGAGGTGATGTTATATGTGAGTATGAATGGCTGAAGTGATGTGAGTATGGATGGCTGTAGTGATGTTATATGTGAGTATGGATGGCTGTAGTGATGTTATATGTGAGTATGGATGGCTGTATTGATGTTATATATGAGTATGGATGGCTGATGTGATATTATATGTGAGTATGGATGGCTGTATTGATGTTATATGTGAGTATGGATGGCTGATGTGATATTATATGTGAGTATGGATGGCTGATGTGATATTATATGTGAGTATGGATGGCTGATGTGATATTATATGTGAGTATGGATGGCTGATGTGATATTATATGTGAGTATGGATGGCTGTAGTGATGTTATATGTGAGTATGGATGGCTGATGTGATATTATATGTGAGTATGGATGGCTGATGTGATATTATATGTGAGTATGTGAGTATGGATGGCTGTAGTGATGTTATATGTGAGTATGGATGGCTGATGTGATATTATATGTGAGTATGGATGGCTGTAGTGATATTATATGTGAGTATGGATGGCTGATGTGATATTATATGTGAGTATGGATGGCTGATGTGATATTATATGTGAGTATGGATGGCTGTAGTGATGTTATATGTGAGTATGTATGGCTGTAGTGATGTTATATGTGAGTATGGATGGCTGTTGTGATGTTATATGTGAGTATGGATGGCTGTAGTGATGTTATATGTGAGTATGGATGGCTGATGTGATGTTATATGTGAGTATGGATGGCTGATGTGATATTATATGTGAGTATGGATGGCTGATGTGATATTATATGTGAGTATGGATGGCTGATGTGATATTATATGTGAGTATGGATGGCTGATGTGATATTATATGTGAGTATGGATGGCTGATGTGATATTATATGTGAGTTTGGATGGCTGTAGTGATATTATATGTGAGTATGGATGGCTGATGTGATATTATATGTGAGTATGGATGGCTGATGTGATATTATATGTGAGTATGGATGGCTGTAGTGATGTTATATGTGAGTATGGATGGCTGTAGTGATGTTATATGTGAGTATGGATGGCTGATGTGATGTTATATGTGAGTATGGATGACTGTCGTGATGTTATATGTGAGTATTAGTGATTGTAGTGATGTTATATGTGAGTAAGGATGGTTGTAGTGATGTTATAGGTGATTATTATTGGCTGTCGTTATGTTATACGTGAGTATGGATGGCCGTATTGATGTTATATGTGAGTATTTATGGTTGTAGTGATGTAATACGTGAGTATTAGTGATTGTAGTGACGTTGTCATATTTGGACTCGGTATTAAATGATTAATGTTTTTCGCTCCTCGAATATTTCATTTATTGTGGCTTTGATTACAAGCAGAAGTGAGATGACTACTTATTTTGTATGCTTCTCGAAGGTACAGCAAATAGTCATCGCTTTGTTCGACCGTTCGTCCGTCCGTTCGTCCGTTATGATTTTGTCCAAAGCATAACACGAAAACTATAAAAGGTATCATCATGAATCTTCATAAGTAAATAAAGTTCAATATGAAGTAGGGCAATGCACAAGAATCACAACTCTCTTATTGTCTTTTGTTATTTTTCATACTTAACATTTGTCCCAATTGGGAAGCCGTAACCTGTCTCTAACAGACCTTGTCTTTTATGATTGTTCATATGTGGTCTATATCTAGAGAAAAGTTCACAGCTTTTTTCATTTCCCAGGGAAAATCATGACTAAACATAAAAATAAATCAACATGTTTAACCATGTGCAGACTAGATTTTACATTTCATATTGCAATGATATATAAAGATAATTTATACGTAAAGGAGACAGATGAAGAAAGGTGACGGGGACATTTTGTTATGTCTGTGTTAAAGTTAATAATTTGCAATAGTAAGGAATTTCCATAATAACGTTTATGTACGTAAAAAAGTAAATGGTTAGATAGTTATGGTTCACCTGTGAAATCATAGGTGTATCAATTTGATCACGGAAAAAAATCTACGTCAACAGAGACACGTTATGTGCCGAAGGATATTGAAACGTGAGAATATCGGGAAGTAGCGGAGCTAAAGCTGCTTATTAAATCACATTTTAAATTGCTCCATTAAAATTACATCGTGTGCGTGCTTGAATTACTGCAGATATGAATCTGTATTAGTATGTGCAAAGAAATGGAACGATTACCTTACAGCCACTTTTTTTGTAATTAATACTACAGCGTAGTTGTGAACTTTTAATGTTGTCCGACTGTCTAACTGGGTGTGAACTCTCTTATCATGCCCACAACTCTCCTTTTACGATCCGTCAATGTGTATCGAAGTTATTACACATTTATTTGCACAATTGAGACGTTTCATCGTTTCATATGTCAATTACGTGTCAGTGTATAGGAAACGAAAATTTTAATTTTATTTTCATTTCATTTTTATTTTTTGTCAACAAATCGTACTTGTGCTTAAATCACCACTTATTGGATGTTTCTCATGCTTGGCCTTGGATTCGTCACGTTTATATCCATTAAGTACCCAGTTCTTGCTGTTTATAAAAGTTCTATCCTACAATAAAATTTTTATTTGTAGAATGCAAGCCCCTTTTAACATACCAACTTCTTCAGATTGTTAAAGTACATATCAAAACATTAATATCTAAAACGGCCTTGATCACGGTCAGACGAACAGACTCCACTACTTCCTAAATATTAAAGTACAGTGCAACTTATACTAGTGTTGTCCGGTTAGGAGATACTAATGCACACACGAAATTACATAAATTGATATAGGACACACTCCATGCTCTCTCTCTCTCTCTCTCTCTCTCTCTCTCTCTCTCTCTCTCTCTCTCTCTCTGTTATTTCGTATTTAAACACGCCTTTTTGTCTTGTATGATCTCAAACTTTATGGGGAAAGGGCTTAATATCAGCTGGAAAACTTGTGTCCAATAATCCCATTGCAAGTGTTACAATAAAATGATACGTTTAAAATAACATAAATGTTACATGAACAATAGATGAAATGAGAACGCGTGAGAAAAATTGAAAGATGCCAGTCTTTATTACATTTCTTTTCATCTCTTTCGTGACATATCCACTTCAAGGCAACAGAAATGATACAAAGCGACACCGGCTGTAAAAGATAAAAAAAAACATCCTGAATTGTAGAATATATACACGTAATCGATGGCTGACCGAGGGTTTATCACGCATTAGCCTCTCGTGGTCGCACATGGTTGAGAAATGGTCTCCCCGAAAAAAATGTCATAGCTTGATTTTTCACATGTCAAAAAACTGAGCTTTAGGTGTATTGATCGAGGGACAATCGCGGATAGAGTGAGGATGAACGATGCCAAGTCTTCACGACAGAAAACTGATTGCGTGCATGGTCGTGCTGCCCGCCCCGTCCTCAACACTCGCTCAATCCGTGCGATCTGCTTCGCTCTTTGCGATCAAACCTCAAGGTTTTAGTACACGTATCGTTCCTATTGGGCGAGTCCTATTTTACATTGTAACCTTTATAGGGGAGGAGGGACTAGTTGTGTGTGTTTACAGTTTGTTTTATGTAATAGTACAGGTCTTCAATTTAGATGGATACAAGTTCACCTGACGAGGTGAGGGCGCTGTAAAATACACATAAAACCAGGTGTTGTATGAATGTGATGTTAAGCTATGATATTCTGTTTTCTAATATATTTTATGTGTGTTTCATGTGATAATACAGATCTTCACTTAAGATGGGGGTAAGTGTACCTGACGAGTTGACAAAGCTGTTAAAAAAACACACAAAACCATGTGGGTTTATTGCTTGCAACAAAAAGACCCTGCTGTAAAGTCTACATTGCCAAATGTTAAAGGCGTGTCGTGTCTTACCTGGAAATATTAAATAAGTCAATGTGGTGCTGTGTTACACAAGATCTAATCAGTTATGCAAGTATTGTGTTAAGCTTTGATAATCAGAAGTGGAGGCGTGCTGTGTCCCTTACAGCGACATAGGTATGAGTCCGGGTGTTCATTCTGTAACTTTATCCCATGCAATATTGTTTTTGCAGTGCTCTTGCAGTGCCTTCGCAGTGTTAACTATTTTTACAATGTGTATGCTGGGATGGGGCACAGAGGACACCTCGGACGTCCTTAGGTCACTATGCACTAATTTATGAGATGATGCATATTAATACTTCCTGGTACAGTCTCCATGGGTATCCTGGGAGTCATATTCTGTTACGCAGAGTAT